TTATATACAAATTCTTTTATTCTCAAACTATTTCCTCTGCCTATTTTAGGAAAGTTATGTTCAGTGATATATTAGTCATTGCTAAATTATCCTTAAGAAGTCTTATTAATATGTATGTCTGAAGATCTATCTGGCAAGAAAACAAGCTATAATTTCTAGAAGTGTGTTATGTCATGACCAAACAATAGCAAACTCATTAAAGCAGCCCAGAAATAGTGTTCTGGGTAGAAGTAAAAATTCAAATCCATTTTAATATTTTAATTACAATTTTAATTAGAAAATGTTTAGACATCTTGCCTGCATAGTTAGAACATCAAATAATTTAGAAATATCCTTGCTGTTAAAAGTATTTAAAAAATGTAATCTACGGATTCCAGTTCTGTTATCTGCAGCCTGTGTAAAATCCAAATATGAAAGGAACAGTCGGAAACTAAACATTCTGTAGCCCATTCATTAGTCTCCATCAAACTTAAAATTGTTAAGTAATTAAAATATGTAGCCTACAATCTCCCCAGAAAATAACTAGAGGCTCCAGTGCATAGGCTGTAATGTTCCATAATAAAGTCTAAACTTTAAAATCAAGGACATGATATACAGCAGCGGTTTTCGACCTTTTTTTCATTTACAAACCCTTAAGCAATTTTGAATGGAGGTGCTGTCTTTGGAAATCTTAGACATAGTTTGTGTACTCCCAGGCATCTGTGGAGCATAGGTTGAAAACTACTCATATACAGCATGGCTGAATCTAGACTGGCAAGTTTTTCTGCAAAAGCAATTGCTTTTGTGGAAAAACTTGCCAGCTGTCTACACTGGCCGCTTGAATTTGCGCAAAAGCACTGACGTTCTACTGTCCGAAATCAGTGCTTCTTGCGCAAATGTTTTGACGTTCCCGTTCGGGCAAAAGCCCTTTTCTGGAAATGCTTTTGCGTAAAAGGGCCAGTGTAGACAGCTGAAAACTGTTTTGCGCAAAAAAGCCCCAATGGCGAAAATGGCGATCGGGGCTTTCTTGCGCAAAACCGCGTCTAGATTGGCACGGACGCTTTTCTGAAAAAAGTGCTTTTGTGGAAAAGCGTCTCTGCCAATCTAGATGCTCTTTTCCGCAAATGCTTTTAACGGAAAAACTTTTCCGTTAAAAGCATTTGCGGAAAATCATGCCAGTCTAGAAGCAGCCCATATGTAAAAGTATCTGGGCATTAATGTGAGTGCTTTAGTTTTTTACATTTTTTTGTGATGAATATCTGCTTCTTCCTCCTAAGGCAAATCAACACTTAACATAACCAGTGCTTTCTGAATAATCCTATTGTATCTAACAAAGCAACATGCTTAAATACAAACAAGAAAGGGCAAGAAGAAATAGAACAGCAACAGAGCTAATGAAGGGAGAAAGGTTGAGGGAAAGAATAAGCAGGGATTGGAGAAAAGAAAGGCATAGCAGATGAGGAGAAGAAAAAGCAAGACAGACTCTAGATGAGAGGCTGGCAGTCTTAAGAGCCAAACTACATCAAAATTCAGGACAAGTGGTCGACAAAGAGCCAGTATAAGAATGCCCATTTGCATGACTAAAGATACACAACTTAATATTATTAATAATTGACATAAGGATTAATAATAGCATAAATTAAACATCATATTCATAGACTTTAATGGGAGTTCTGCTGCTGTATCTTTTTGTACATTTCTTTGAAGTTTCCACCATAACTGGACAAATTCAGGTTCATGCACGCATTCAAGCTACATAAGAACATAAGAACAGCCGTACTGGGTCAGACCAAAGGTCCATCTAGCTCAGTATCCTGTCTGCTGACAGTGGCCAGCACCAGGTGACCCAGAGAGGGTGGACCGAAGACAGTGATCAAGCAATTTGTCTCCTGCCATCCCTCTCCAGCCTCTGACAAACAGAGGCCAAGGCACCATTTTATCCCCTGGCTAATAGGGGGACTGGGGTTATTTTTCCCGATGTGCATTGGGGTTATTTTTCCCGATGTGCATTGGGGTTATTTTTCCCGATGTGCATTGGGGTTATTTTTCCCGATGTGCATTGGGGTTATTTTTCCCGATGTGCATTGGGGTTATTTTTCCCGATGTGCATTGGGGTTATTTTTCCCGATGTGCATTGGGGTTATTTTTCCCGATGTGCATTGGGGTTATTTTTCCCGATGTGCATTGGGGTTATTTTTCCCGATGTGCATTGGGGTTATTTTTCCCGATGTGCATTGGGGTTATTTTTCCCGATGTGCATTGGGGTTATTTTTCCCGATGTGCATTGGGGTTATTTTTCCCGATGTGCATTGGGGTTATTTTTCCCGATGTGCATTGGGGTTATTTTTCCCGATGTGCATTGGGGTTATTTTTCCCGATGTGCATTGGGGTTATTTTTCCCGATGTGCATTGGGGTTATTTTTCCCGATGTGCATTGGGGTTATTTTTCCCGATGTGCATTGGGGTTATTTTTCCCGATGTGCATTGGGGTTATTTTTCCCGATGTGCATTGGGGTTATTTTTCCCGATGTGCATTGGGGTTATTTTTCCCGATGTGCATTGGGGTTATTTTTCCCGATGTGCATTGGGGTTATTTTTCCCGATGTGCATTGGGGTTATTTTTCCCGATGTGCATTGGGGTTATTTTTCCCGATGTGCATTGGGGTTATTTTTCCCGATGTGCATTGGGGTTATTTTTCCCGATGTGCATTGGGGTTATTTTTCCCGATGTGCATTGGGGTTATTTTTCCCGATGTGCATTGGGGTTATTTTTCCCGATGTGCATTGGGGTTATTTTTCCCGATGTGCATTGGGGTTATTTTTCCCGATGTGCATTACTTTACATTTATCCACATTAAATTTCATTTGCCATTTTGTTGCCCAATCACTCAGTTTGGTGAGATCTTCTTGGAGTCCCTCACAGTCTGCTTCTGTCTTGACTATCTAGTTACCCCTCTCCAATCTGAAAATTTACCATTTATTCCTACCCTTTGTTTCCTGTCTTTTAACCAGTTCTCACTCCAAGAAAGGACCTTCCCTCTTATCCCATGGCCATGTAATTTACACAAGAGCCTTTGGTGAAGGAACTTGTCAAAGGCTTTCTGAAAAATCTAAGTATACCATATCTACTGTATCCCCCGTGTCCGCATGTTTGTTAACCCCTTCAAAGAACTCTAATAGATTAGTAAGACAGGATTTCCTTTTACAGAAACCATGTTGACTTTTGTCCAACAAATTATGTTCTTCTACATGCTTCACAATTTTATTCTTTACTATTGTTTCGACTAATTTGCCCGGTACTGAAGTTAGGCTTACCGATCTGTAATTGCCAGGATCGCCTCTAGAGCCCTTTTTAAATATTGGTGTCACGTTGGCTACCTTCCAGTCATTAGGTACGGAAGCCGATTTAAAGGATAGGTTACAAACCACAGATAATAGCTCAGCAATTTCCCATTTGAGTTTTTAGAACCCTTGGATGAATGCCATCCGGTCCCGGAGATTTGTTAACATTTAAGTTTTTCTATTTGTTCCAAAACCTCCTCTAATGACACTTCAATTCGGGACAGTTCCTCAGATTCATCACCCACCAAGGACGGTGCAGATTTGGGAATCTCCCCAACGTCCTCAGCCGTGAAGACTGAAGCAAAGAAATCATTTAGTTTCTCCGCAATGGCTTTATCGTCCTTGATTGCTCCTTTTATAGCTCGATCATCTAGGGGACCCACAGGTTTTTTAGCAGGTTTCCTGCTTCTAATGTACTTAAAAAACATTTTGTTATTTCTTTTTGAGTTTTTGGCTAGTTGTTCCTCAAAATCTTTTTTTGCTTTTCTTATTACATTTTTACACTTGATTTGACAGTGTTTATGTTCCTTTCTATTTCTATTTATTTATTTATATTTACATGAGTAAATTTATTTATTTCTATTTACACGAGTAATTACACATTTTTAAAATGCTGAATTAATTTTTCATTTTAATTTACAAAGTTGCATGTGTTTTGGGAATGCAAGAGAGACATGTTTGGTTTCATACTAAGCCATATTTGGCTCAAGAGCCATAGGTTGCAGACCCCCCATTCTAGATTCACAGACAGAATACTTAAACTGTGATAACGTGAATAGTGGGGGATATCACAGAAGCATGGATGAGAAGTGTGTCACTGAAGCATAGGAAAATCCTTCACATAAGAACAGTGGGGAACAGTTGCCTCTGGGTGCCACACTAGGGGGGCACCAATTTAGTTCCCCTCCACGCCGTCATCCCTTGGCTCACCTGCTTGCTGCTGACTGGAGCCTCCTCCCTGCCTCTCCACACCCAGTCTGACCCTCTCTATCTCCGCTGGCCCTGGCCCCAAACTGGAGGGGGTGGGGGAAAACACAGTACAAGTTCCAACCCCCCAGGGTCAGGCTCAGACATGAGCAGAACAGGTAAAGGGGCGGGCCAGTGGGGAGTTGTGGGATGCAAATTTTGCCTTTGCCCCCAGGGTGCAGAACACCCTTGCTATGCTTCTGAGTAGGATACATTAAAAACTGCCTTGGGTTGACTACAAAACAATGAGTTAACCTTGATATAAATGCAGCTTGGCTAATCTGCACTTGCATCTGCAAAGGGTGAAATGGAAACAGCAGAAGAAAGCAGGGAGTCAGAATTAAAGAGGAACAGGAGGGAAGAAGGAATTGATGGAGATGGCACAGTGAGAAATAAGACAACCAGGATTTGAGGGGGAATAAGGGAATAAAGGACAAATGAAAACAGACACAAGATGAGAAAAGCTCTTGAGATGAGAACAGATAAGGAAGAAAAGCAGGTGGAGAGGAAGGCAGAAGCAAGAAAAGGCATTTGAATAGCTCATCCCTAGACCTCTGCAGACCAGGCCGGGCAAAGACAGGCAACAAGCAAAAGTGAAGGCGGGGCGGCTTCCTCTGATGCCTGCTCTGCACATTTGGCAGAGGCGGTGACATCTGCTGTGCGCTTTGCGGGTTGGCGAGCAGGAGGAGATGAAGTTGGGGGGGGGACCGGGCGTGGCCCCCGCTGTCTGGGACTCTATGGACGGCGTCCCGGCCGGGTTCCGCTCGGGCACAGGCCCCGCAGCCAGGCACTAGTTGAGGAGTACAGGGCCTAGGCTCCACAGCTGTCCCCCTCCCCCACGCAGGACAGCGCGGGCAGACACAGGGGCAGGTCCCGGAGCTGGGGAGAGGCCGGAGGCGGGGGGGGTCTCTGGGGCCCGCGGGACAGGGACGCGTCCAGCGGCTGGGGGGGGGGGG